GAGGTTTCTTTCTTTCTCTTTGAAGACATTTTGCTTCTCATCCCAGAAGCTTCTTCAGCTCTGACTGGAGGGTGGGGAAATGGAAGGATTTATACCCCTTGAAGACAGCTGGTCATTTGCATCCTTTTAGAGGGTTGTTGAAGCACTTGAGAGGTTTATCTGTGTCCCCAGGATCTGACGGAACGGTGGACGATGGAAGGATTTAAATTCCTTGCAGTCATGTAGTCGTTAAGATTGAACAGCCTTCTCTCAACAGAGGAGGAGGAAGAAGACATTTCCTATCTCCTAGCAGTTCCCAGAAGGCTTCACACCCATTTACACTCTTCAGGGCCCAGATAAAGCCCAGGTACCGCCAACGACTCTCAGAGAGTGCGCTAACGACCAGATGACTGCAAGGAATATCAATCCATCGTCCGCCATTCAGTCAGAACTGAAGAAGCTTCTTGGATGAGACGCGAAATATCTTCAAGCGATTTAAAAAAGGGCAGTTGCCGGGGGGCGGGGAGAAGCACCTTTGGGATTAACCTGTTATTTTGCCTGCCCCTTTGTTTCAGCGTGGTAAAATGATTTAAGATCTCCCTCCTTTCCCTTTCATTGACGTACCTGTCTTAAGATCCTTCAATTGGAGATTTATTTATGGATCAGCTGGGACCAGAGGAACATAGGAGAGGGCGAAGAGGTCAGATTTGTGGGATTCCAACTCATTTAGTGACTGGGGTACATTCTTCCTGAGAGAAAGAGGATTCCTTCTAGCTCTGCTGAGGTTAAGAGATTAGCAAAACTCCACCGCTCTTTACAGAACACCGCTCCTCGATCTAACCATCATTCATTTAGTGACGGTTCAAAGTTACAACAGCGCTGAAAAAAGTGACTTGTGACTGAGGGGGGAGGGTATTCACTCACCTTCCCTACCGGTTCGCAAATGTGAGCGTGCGCACGCATGTTGCTCAGCCTTCTGCGCATGTGCTTTGGCTAAAAAAAGTGCCTAAATGGGACGGCATAGAACTGGCAGAATACCACGTCTGCTTATGACTAATTTTCACACTTATAAGCTGTTTAAACTTCTACACTCGGTTTAGAATTGATTTTTTTTTTTGTTTCCTTATGTAGCATCAAAGAGGCTTGCATTGTACTGAACCTAAACATCGGATCAGCCCTGCTGTTGAAGGACGTGCTCCAATCAGACACCGAAACCAGAAGCGGAATCGCCTTTGGTTCAAAACAACCCACTGCCGTGGCGGCGTTAAATGAACTTGGAATTTATAAGTTGGCTCCAAAGGATGTTGAGATCCTCCTTAATTTGAGGACAAATTGGCCTAACACTGGCAGATAATCAGGATAAACAAAATGGAGAGACACTAATTATTATTATTTAGAAATTACCACTCGTTCTCACGTGATGTTGAATATATTGCCTTGGAAAGAAAAAAAATGCATTAAAAACACTGAAAATTATACATATACATACATACTTACATACATACATACATACATCACTGTTTCAGAGTGGTGCAGTGGCCTAGAGGTGGAACAATTGCCTTCACAATCAGCAGATTGTGAGTTCAATCCTAGGTAGAGGCAGATATTTCTCTCTCTGGGCACACTGAATATATCTGCTGAAACAAAACTCTACATTGGCAACAGGAAGGGCAACTGGCCAGTAAACACTCAGATCCATTCAGTTGCCCAGACTCCGCCCTGCAAGGGATTATGGGGTCGTTAAATGGTGATGTTGATATATATATATATCGCTGTTTCAAAGAAACATTTGCAATTTGAAGAAGTCTGGATAATATACCGGCTGTAATGTTTAGTTGTAACTTACTGTCAGTGACTCATGTCCTTTTCTCAATTGACTGTGGTAATCAAGGGAAATTATTTTCAATGGAGAAATTATTCTAATATATGCTCCATATTATAGAAATAGACATCTTAAAGGAACATGCTGGAGTATTTTTTTAAAAATTTCTTGAGACCAGTTTCACTTCATTGCCTCTTCTGAGACAAAGATTAATCTCGCTTAGGCTGCATCAGGGTGTCCTCGAAACCTTTTGTGTTACCAAGATTGTGATGTTACACAATATTACAAGAGGGGGTAAAAACAGCAAAACCGTTCTTACCTTTTTGAATGAAACAAAGTGTTGACAAAAAGCACAAAAGGGACAAACATCTTTGAATGCTGTTCTGTGGGAAATATTACTTTACTTTGGCTCCTAACGCCAGCATACTTCTAATACGGATAAGATAAAAGCCTTCGCAGAAATTTGTGCTGTTCTTTAAACATACTCTAAAATTATAGAAAATAAATGTGATTAGCCGCCTCCTTTTGATTAGAAAGTTGGGGTTTATGAACTTCTGGCAATGGCTAAACTAATCATAATGTCATTTGTTTTTTCCTGATGGAAAAAAATTAAATTTAAATGCAATTTGTCTCACTGAAAATAAAAGGACTGCTGAAAAGCTTAGTGTTGGCTAATATACTCCCATTATTTATTTAGCAAATTCAGTATGATGACAGCTTGGAAGATTCTGAAATACAGGAACTGCTTCAGTGACAGTACAATTAGTACAAGTGAAGGCTATTACATAGAAATGAAATTGCTACCTTTTTTTTGGGGAAACCAAAGTATATGTATATATGTGTGTGTATATAAAATATTTCAGGTGAGAATATTCAGGATTAAACTGTTGTCCACAGCTCAGTAAATTTTTTCGTCCTGTGGAGGAAAATGAAGAGATATAACATATAAAGATCATATATAAACAATTGTATTTTCCTCATTACAACCAGTCTGATTATGGGTTGGATAGTGTGTTTAGTTGTAAGCACGCCAATATAATAATTTCTGCAGGTGTATATTACGCATGTTTTTATGTTGATTATGGCATGTCAGCCGCCGGTCCCTCCAGCAGCGGAATCGGAGGAGGAGGAGAAGGAGGCGTGGGAGTCAGGGTCAGCATTAGGGCAACCTGAGAGCTCCAAGGGGGAAGAGGGAATGGAGGTGTCGGAGAAAGAGAGACGGAGGCAGAGCCTGGGCTGTCCGTCAGCCCTCAGATGGAGAGTCAACAGTCCCCAGGCCTGGAGGTGTCTGATGAGGAAGAGGAAGAAAAGCTGGGTCCAGTGCCTGACGCGTGGATGCTCAGAAGGCAGAGGAGAGGAGAGCAGTGGAAATCTATGGGCCGGTCCTTGGGACAGAAGAGCCACTGCTGCTACTGAAGCCCCACCCTAGCTCTGGGGATAAAAGGCAGAGGGCGGAGATGAATAGATGTGGCAGACAAGTATTCATCTCCCGGATGGACAGACGGACTTGTTAGCCTGCGGTGAGTGAGAAACTTTTAGCTGGAGCTGCCGGCACTCCTAATAAAAGAATTTTTGATTTGACGTCTGAGGGATTGTCATGTTTGGGGAGCTGGGTCAGAACATTAATAATAAATTGCCTTTTATTTTTATTTCTCGATTTGTTATTCTTGCTTAATAACCATTTGTTTAGCGACTGAAGTTAAGACAGCGCTTAAAAAAAATCACAACTGTTTCTCGCACTTAAAACCGTCACAGCATCCTGTGGTCTCATGGTTCTGATTCAGGTGCCTAGCAACCCTCACTGATGACACTTGCAGTGTTCGGTGGTCACACAATCACCAGTTGCAATCTTCAAAGCCAACTTACAATGAGCAAAATCAGTGGAGAAGCCAAGAAGGTCACAAGAGGTCATGGGATGTCTTGCTTAATGACCATGGCCATTTGCTTAACAAGTGTTTTAAAACAATTATCAGGGAAAGACTAGCAATGTTTCAATAATTATCGTGTAGTTTGTTTGAAAAGGTAAGAGGAGGAACAACTCAATAATTTTTTACTTTCTGCACCTAAATCCATAGCTTTAATCTCCTGAGTAACAGTGGATTTTAGAAACATGTGAATGTCCAACCTCTTGCCCTGAATGCTAGAGACCGAATCAGGTACCAAAAGATGGTTGGGAAAATTTAGGGTAAATTGTTGGATGAATTTAAGGGATTATAAAAAGAAAAGAAAATGTGGCATATACGTATATGCTTGCAATTCCACATAAAATGTAACATTCTGGTTTAACTTACACATTTTCCTTGAAGACCTTTGATGTAATTATTTCATTTTCTGCATAAGGTACATCCTGGCTACTCAATCCCAGAGATTCAAGTGCTAGACAAATAAGAGAGAAATATATATATATATATATTTCTGAATGTATTGCTGTAGTATACATTACACCTAGTATAACCCCCATGCACAATTGCTCAAAAGGCGGCCTCCAAATTCGATTTTTAGAAATATTTTATTTCGTGTTTAGATTGCTGCCGTCATGTGACTCCCACCAAAATCGCAGTTTTGGTGTCCCGCCTGTCGGGAATCGCTTAGCTGGATTCACACATCATGCCAAGCAGCAGCTTGCTAAATATACAGGTAGTCCTCAACTTAGAACCACAATTGAGCCCACAATTTCTGTTGCTAAGCGAAACATTTGTTAAGTGAGTTTGGACCCATTTTACAACCTTTCCTGCCACAGTTTGTTAAGTGAATCGTTGCTGTTAAAGTTAGCAACCCGGTTGTTAAGTGAATCTGGCCTCCCCATTGACTTTACGTGTCGGAAGGTTGCAAAAGGGGATCGCATGACCCCAGGACACTACAATAAATAAATAAATATGAGCAAATTGCCAAGCATCTGAATTTTGGTCAATTTTTTTCAGTGACATCGTAACTTGGAACGGTCACTAAGTGAACGCTGGATAAAGTATCCTTTGCTAGCCAAGAGGCTGAGATACCTACAGGCAAATCAGTTGGATTTTTGAATAGGAATTTAAAATATCATTACATTTGTTAGAAAATGGAAGATGTCAGGTAATGAGGATTTCATAGCTGCCAGCTGATGTAAGGTTGTAAGCTGTAAACTGATGCAATGAGGAGGATCCATCCATATATGGTATCACCTCTTTAAGACTCTGGTGAGGTGGAGACTCTAGTGAGGTATCTATATATAGGTGGCCATTAGAAGGCGTTTTTCTCTCATCGTGTATCTCATTTCTCTCCTTGTGTCCGAGCTGAGTGGCAAGGGATTTTAGCTACCTTGTATGTCTGTATATTTGTATATATAAACCACTATTAATAGTCTAAAGGCTCTGTATGCTATGTGCTCTTTTGCTCCTGGGTTTATCTCATAATAATACTCTGACAGAAGTAAATCTTTTTGAGGTTTTCGATTTACTGTAACTTGTCATGGGAGACAAAAAAAGATGAAGATCGTAAGATACGAAGAAATAACCAACCTCCTTTGTACTGTATTCCATTTATGTAGCCTTCGCCCCCGACATCAATCATATCAAACATTGCATCCAAGTTAGACTCTTCCATCAGGTTGGGATAATCGCCAGTTGTTGATTTGGCAAGCTTTACTTTTTCCAATGTCTTTATCAAAAATTCTCTCGGTCTCTCTGAAAAATGGGGACGGGGGAGATCGATCATGTTTTGTTGTCCACTCCAAGACATATTGTTAAATGTATCTAAATTAAACATTCTTTTTTTATTAAAATGATTTGACAGATAACATTAAAACATTTTAAAGTTTTCTAACGTAACTTTTTGGCCACTCAGACAGTTCGTATCTTCCTGTGGATTTGACTTACTATTGTGGTGGAAGGGGAAAAAACAAAATAAAATTGGAACTGGACTTTAGAATTAGGAAGTAAGAAAGGAAAAAAGAAAGGGGGGGGAAACAATGAATGAACTTTAAGTTTAAGCAAATGTGATATAGCAGAAAAAGTTTAAACAATTTGTTAAATTAACTAAACAGACACTGGAATTTTGGATGTATCATGAACTACTTGACATGTTAAAAAATGCATGTGGAACGCTAAATGGTAAAGAAAAAGTCAAAACTCAGAGGGAACACCTAGAACAAGGAGGAAGAGAAAAGGAGATAGAAAAAGACTAAATGAAGAAGATGATGATACTATAGAAGGAAAAGGGAGTGAAAAAGGCATTTTGTATCTTCCTTCTTGGCCAAGAGAGGCACAGAAATTTCAATCTATGTCCTTGAATATTTTTTTGTTATATATATAGCTTATTTTTACATTTTTCTATTAACATACATAAGTGCTTTGTGAACAGTGTATCATCCGGGTCAATTGCTTGCATAATAATATTTTCCCAGCTCCTAATTTCTACTTCTATTATCCAACCATTTATAAAACAAATCCCATACTTGAAAATATTCCCGTATCTTCCTTCTCTTTTATTGTTCATGTCAGTTTATCCATTTCTGTGTAATCTTAATTTTTTTTTTTAATTACACCATCCTCTCTCGGTATTTCCTCATTTTTCCAATACTGTGCAAATACAATTGTTGCTGCAGTCAAGACATGCAATATTAAATACAAATTCCCTCCTTGAATCTTTAATAGCTGCCAAAATTCAGAACTGCTACAAAAAGACCCATCACAAAACCCTTGCTTGGCACACCCGCACCTGAAGCCCATATAAATAGAGAAACACTGACATGCCTCAAACTCCACTGAAGATGTTACCTAGTTTGGTAATGAAATGTTCGGAAACCAGCCCACAAGCTCAGAGAACGAACCTCCACCCTCACTGCTATAAATCTTGCAGTTAGTCAACTGAGTAAAGGCGTTGTGTGTGGCTACTCTTCCCCTGGACATGTACAACAGCTTTTGACCCAGATACCACACCCGTTCAACTGTAGTAGACGTCACATGTGGCATTGCTTCTTCCAGCCTACAACACAACCTCAAGGCTTGGGCAGTAGGCAGGAAAACTGGCCGAGCCCCCAGCCGCATTCTCAGCTTCCCAGGTCCGCCATTGCTTAGCAACAGAAATGATATTTTCTACAAATAGAAATTATTTTTCAGCCTAATTCTGGAGTCTCCAAACATGGGCAATTGAAGACTAGTGGACTTCAACTCCCAGAATTCCCCAGCTGGCATGGATTCTGGGTATTATAGCCTAATGCTGGGCACATGGGCACTTTAAGACTTCCCCAGAAGTCTCCCAGAATTCCCCAGCCAGCATGGATTCTGGATATTGTAGTCCACCCACCTTAAAACCTGACAAGGTTGAAAAGTATGTTTAGCCTAATGGAGTCTCCAAACATGGGCACTTGAAGACTCGTGGACTTCAACTCCCAGAATTCCCCAGCTGCAATGAATTCTGGGTCTTGTAGTCCAGCCACCTTAAAAGCTGACAAGGCTTAAAACCACCTTTTAGCCTAATGCTGGAGTCTCCAAACCTGGGCACTTGAAAACTTGTGGACTTCAATTCCCAGAATTCGCCAGCCAGCATGGATTCTGGGTGTTGTAGTCCACCCACCTTAAAAAGCTGGCAAAGTTGAAAAGTATATCTAGCCTAATGCAGGAGCCTCCAAACTTGGGCACTTGAAGATTTGTGGATTTCAACTCCCAGAATTTCAACTCCCAGAATTCCCCAGCCGGCATGGATTCTGGGTGTTGTAGTCCACCCACCTTAAAAGCTGACACATTTTTTTATCCTAATGCGGGAGTCTCCAAACTTGGGGTTTTTAAAACTTTTGGACTTCAACTCCCAGAATCCCCCAGTCAGCCATGCTGGCTAGGGAATTGTGGGAGTTGAAGTCCACAAGTCTTGAAGCGCCCAAGTTTGGAGACTCCTGCCCTATTGTGTAAATTACTCACAGGTCATTTCTCGGGTCTTGAAAAAAAACCCTCTTTTTAAACCCCCCCCCCAAATTAAAATCATTTTTTAAAAAAAGCAACCCCAGCCCCCATTTTCTGTTTATACTCCGTGAAGGGCAAATCCGCTCGTCTTCCCCGAGGGCACGGAAACGCAGCGGCCCCCGGGCCAACCTCTCTCACCCGGCCGGTGGTAGAGCAGCAACGAGGTTAAACTATACAAAAGCTCCGGGATTTTGTGCTGGGCCAAGTACTCGCGGCCTTCCGTTTCTCGGTCCATCGCCGTTGCTAGGCGACGCGGCAGGGAAACGCCGCGCAGGAGACGCCGCCATGAAGGGGCCGCTCGTCCAATCCGCTTGCTCGCCCGGTTCTTCGCGCGGGGGGGCTTGGGGGTTGTGACGTCATCGGGAAGGAGCGGCGACGTGTGTTTAGGTCACAGTGTTTCTCTCAACCTTGGCGACTTTAAGTCCTGTGGACTTCAACTCCCAGAATTCCCCAGACAGCTATGCTGGCTGGGGGATTCTGGGAGTTGAAGTCCACAGGACTTAAAGTCGCCAAGGTTGAGAAACACTGGTTTAGGACAACGGGAGGGGCGTGGCCTCCGGTCCAAAGCAGTTGCCCCGGGGAATAGCGGGGGGGGGTGGGGGGTTTGCAAGCGTGGCCAAGCTGCACGGATTTGAAATTTAAAAATTTGCAAACATTGCAAAAATTCCTCAATGTTTGAAGTGGTTAAAAATTCCGGAGGCGCATAAAGCAATTTTTGTGCTTTGGATACTCTTGCAACAGAATGATGAGTGCACATTTGAAATAGAATAGAATAGAATAGAATCCAGATGCTCAGCAACTGGTTCATATTTATGCTCACGTGATTCCCCTTTTGCGAACGTCTGACAAGCAAAGACAATGGAAAGGCAAATTCATTGAACAGAACGCCATCCCTCTGCTAAACAAATAATTCCCTCACCACTGACAAACCATTCACTAAGTCTGCGTTACTATTACTTTTAGTTTTCTCATCGTTCTATCACCCATCTCCTCCCACTTATGACTGCAGGACAGTAATTGAGTTGCTTCTAACCTCAGCATTTATATTAACAGTGATTGTGTCCTGATGGCTTATTTCTACCCTATGACTATCATTAAGTGTTCTACCTTATGATTCTTGACGAATGTATCTTTCTTTTTGTGTACACAGAGAGCAAATGCAGCAAAGGAAGATTCCAATCACACTTGGCCAATAAATAATTCTATTCTATTCTATCCTATCCTATTCCTATTCTATTATCTATATTCTATTCTATTTCCTATTCTAATTCTATTCCTATTCTATTCTACTCTACATTCTATTCTATTTCCTATTCTATTTCATTCTATTCTATTTCTATTCATATTCTATTTACTCTATATTCTATTCTTATTCTATTCCATTCTATTCTAATTCTATTCCTATTCTACTCTGTATTCTATTCTATTTCTATTCTATCCTATTCTATTCCTATTCTATTCTCTATATTCTATTCTATTTCCTATTCTAATTATTCTATTTCTATTCCTATTCTATTCTACTCTACATTCTATTCTATCCTATTTCCTATTCTAATTCTATTTCTATTCCTATTCTATTCTAGTCTATATTCTATTCCTATTCTATTTCATTCTATTCTAATTCTATTCCTATTTTATTCTATATTCTAATTCTATTCCTACTACTCTATATTCTATTCTATTTATATTCTATCCTATTCTATTCCTATTCTATTCTCTATATTCTATTCTATTTCTTATTCTAATTATTCTATTTCTATTCCTATTCTATTCTACATTCTATTCTATCCTATTTCCTATTCTAATTCGATTCTTTTATTTCTATTCCTATTCTATTCTACTCTATATTCTATTCCTATTCTATTTCATTCTATTCTAATTCTATTCCTATTCTATATTCTATTCTATTCTAATTCTATTCCTATTCTACTCTATATTCTATTCTATTTCTATTCTATTCCTATTCTATTCTCTATATTCTACTCTATTTCCTATTCTAATTATTCTATTCTATTTCTATTCCTATTCTATTCTCTACATTCTATTCTATCCTATTTCCTATTCTAATTCTATTCTATTCTAATTCTATTCCTATTCTTTTTCTATTCTATCCTATTCTATTCCTATTCTATTCTCTATATTCTATTCTATTTCCTATTCTAATTATTCCATTCTATTTCTATTCCTATTCTATTCTATTCTACTCTACATTCTATTCTATTCTGATCACGTGAGCATAGGGATGCTGCAAAGGTGGTAACTGAAAAATGGCAAGTCACTTTTCAGTGCCATTGTAACTTTGAACCATGGTTAAATGAACTGTTGTAAGTTGAGGACCACCTGTGTTTGTCTGAATGGCAAAGTCTGGAAGCTTTTTCATCCCTTAAAAAGACTGCTGAGATTTTTTTTTAAAAGACAGTGAAAAAGGATTATCACTGCATACCATCAAACACAAATCTGTTTCTTTTTAATTGAAAGCATTTTTTGCCATTGGCAGCTGATTTAGCAGGGTGATTCCTTACCCAGTAAACTAATGTTTGGCTTTTACCTAAGGGGTTTCAAATTAACCAACCTGGAGGCATTTTTTATAACTCACACCAACACGCAGCCGTGTCAACCCTGAAAAATTTGCACCTCGAGGGGTCCTTGGCGCATTTTGTTATTTTTTTTTTTGCAGACGTTTCATTACCAAACTAGGTAACATCATCAGTACTGGTAGGGTTTGGTAGAGTTTGTTCTCATTTTATATTCTGGTTCATTGACCTGTCGATGTTGGTAGGAATGGTCTTGGGTGATAATGTAACTTAGCTTGGTAATGAAATGTATGTAGAAAACAATTATAAAGTTATTTTTTTTCGTTGTAACGTCTGTCACTAAACAAATCCTTGCAAATCGAGGACTACTTGCAATGTGCTGGCTCCAGCCATTATGACTTAGTTGAAGTATACTTATGTAGCATGATAGGCAATGCTGTGCCAATTAACTCAGTTTGTGTTGATTTAAACAAAATCGGGCTTTTTGAGAGCGGTGGGGCCGATCGCCCAAGTAAAATTTGCCTGATCTGATTGACCCCTAGCTCTGAAATGATTGGACAACCCTCCAGTCAATCTTTTTGAAGATCAAAGGCCTTTTTTCCCCTAAATGTCCATAAAATTGTCGTGTGAGACACATATTGCGTCCTTAAAATCCTTTTCACTTGGGCTTTTGTAGGCAATGAAGGTTTTTTGTGGCTTGTTGTGTTTTGATAGTCACTGTGGAGTGATCACACAGGATAAGCATAAACATTTAAGTATATTTCCTTATTTTGGATAGTGGCTTTCTAGGTAAAAGTTCCCCTCGCACGTATGAGCTAGTGGTTCCCGACTCTAGGGGACAGTGCTCATCTCCATTTCAAAGCCGAAGAGCCAGCGCTGTCCAAAGACGTCTCCGTGGTCATGTGGCCGACTTGACTCAACGCCGAAGGCGCACAGAACGCTGTTACCTTCCCACCAAAGGTAGTTCCTATTTTTCTACTTGCATTTTTTACG